CCATCCCAGCCCCTCTTACCTTCCAGTTCCTCAGGACAAACTGGATTAAATAAGCATTTGTGAGCCCCAGCACCAAGACAGGTAACAGTCAGACTGAACCTGCTGAGACCATGTCATGCCAAGACTATCACTGGTCCTTGTAGGCAAAGGGGAAGGAGAAGAGGTTGAGACTTTGACACTAGTTTACCCAATATTCTCATAATCTGCCCAAAGAAACACTAAGTAGCACCGCTTTGTAAGAGAGCACAAATCAGGGTCAAAAGCTTGGATCAAAGATTAGTTACCACTGGTTCGGTAGCACAGACTCTCAGATTTACCTTCTACAAATTGGATGATGCTCATTTGCAAAATAAATAAAAAAAGGTAAGTTCTGATAGGAACAACAATTAAAAAAAAATCCCTCCCTAGACTGCTGTCTGAGGAAGAGGAACACAGTGTTTCTGAAGAAATTTCCTATTAAATAACAGGCAATTACTTCGTATGTTGCTCTGAGCGATCTTTTGTTAGCTGTAGGAGTGAGCAAAATAATGATTTATTGTGAACTCAGGAAGAGAAAGCAGCTTTTCAAAAGGCATGGAATTATACCTAAATACTGATAAATTTAAACAATATTAGTGAAGAAAAAAACGCGGAAATAAGGCTGAAATCAAGAGTTTGGGTATCTGAACATCCAAAGAAAGCTCCCGTTTTAAAAATGACAAAGTATTCAGTATCTTCAAAAGAAAATTTGGACTTCTCATGCTTTAAAATCATCTTAAATAAAAGAATTTTCAGAAACAGGTAAAAAAGCCCAAAATGAACTGATGAATTTTATAGCAAACAAAATAAATCAACCCATAACTTCTACATTTTCCCTAGGAGTGCCCTGCAGCTGAATCCTCACTAACTCCCAGGAATTTTCAGATCAGCTGCTCAATCAAAATAAATTTAGTCTGCTCCTTGTAAGATTACTTGGTCATGTTACAACACCCGGCAGCAGCTCATGGTAGCACCTATAGCGAGGACCAGGTCAGTTTTGCCAGTTCCTCTGAACTGAGAGAGTACTGTACTTCAGATGATTTTTAGAAGCACCCACTTCTGGTACTCAGCCCTGGTGAGGCCGCCCCTCAAATGCGTTGGGCCCCTCACTCCCAGAAGGACATGGAGGGGCTGGAGCGTGTCCAGAGAAGGGCAAGGAAGCTGGGGAGGGGTCTGGAGCCCAAGGCTGCTGGGGAGTGTCTGGGGGAGCTAGGGGTGTTCAGCCTGGAGAAGAGGAGGCTGAGGGGAGCCCTTCTCACTCCCTACAAGTCAGGCACTGGAAGGGGCTGCCCAGGGCAGGGGTTGAGTCCCCATCCCTGGGGGTATTTAAAAGCCGGGCAGACGAGGTGCTGAGGGCCAGGGTTTAGGGCAGGGTTAGGGGAATGGTTGGGCTTGGTGATCTTAAAGGGCTTTTCCAAGTTGAACGATTCTACGATTCTTTTCTAACTCGCCCTTCTGAAATCTTAAGGATGGAATATACTGAAAAACTACATCCCAACACAAAGAAATGCTCACTTTTTTTTTTTTTTAAGAGGAGCAGTTTCTAGAAAGGCAGGCAATACTGAACACTTCCCAGAAGTCTGCCCTCTGCTTCTGTCAAAGTATTTCATTCCTCCTCAGTGAGCCATGCTCAGCACAGTCTCAGATTATTTCAAAACTAGCTTGCATGTCAGGATGTACAGGGTTGCTTTCAAAGCCATGATCACTCTATCACATTACTGATTACTGTAACTGGGTACCACGTCACCAACTGCCTTCAGCAACTCTTAAGACACACATGAGCATTTCATAGCCATCAATCTGCTTATAGCCACTACTGATGCCATATATACATAAACTAGTAATGACAACTACAAAAGCCTTCAACACATCCAAGACCAGGAAGACATGCACTGCTCTAAGATGGAAAGTAGATTTCAATCCCAGTAAGTTGCTGGCAGGGTACTTTTTCTTCCTCTCATACCCCTTTTGCATAACAGGACTGAAAATACTGTCCACTGTAAGCTGGGAATCCTCACACGGCAGATACTACTTTGGGGACTAAGTGCATTTACAGTGACTTCACCCCCATGCTTCTGCACCTCATTTGGCAAAACCACATCTAATTAATTCCAAGAGCCCCCCTGAGCAGCGCATCCTTGTGCACGGTCCTGAGCAACCGATGCAACTCAACAGCAAGCACCAACAGCATCGCCAGCGCCCGAGCACAGTGCCAAGGCTCCTGCAGGCTGACATGTAAGCACCCTGCCAAGAGAGTCCCCAGGGCCTGCTCCCATCACACCCGAGGGACCACACGAACATCTTCTAGAAACACCTGATTATTACAGTGCTGGCAGAGCAGCACATAAAGGCACCGAAACTTCCTCCTTCCCCCTCCACAATTAACAGGGGCACAAAGTAGCTGTATTCTATGATGTCCTGTCCCCACCCCATTTATATGGTTCCTTCAAGAACTCCTGGAAGCCAGTGGAGAATCCAATCTGAAGAAAACAACGAACCCTGGGTCACAATATATTTATCCTGTAAGCAAAAAATAACCAAACTGGCACAGTAGAGCATCACCTTTGCAGAACAATGACAGGAGGCTGGAGGTGCAGGAGACTGAGCTTTCCGGCTCAGGTTTTAAAGTTTTACAAACCTGCAGTGTCAACTCTGCTGATATTATAACATTTCGCATTTCCCTGAAGAATTTAGCCTCTGGAGTCAACTTAATGAGATTTTGTTCTAATCTATGTTTTCAGCTTCTTCCTAATTTTTTGAAGACCTTACTAAGTACCTCTCCTACTGGAGATTATTAATCTCTTCATTTTGCAGGGTTTACTGTGATCACTGGCTTTTGGCCACACACTTATTTAGATTGTCTGAACAGAACTTCACCTGCTGCATGCTGTACAAGTTAAAGCTGAAACCTTCAAGTACAGGTATAAACATCATAAAGTTACAGAAGAAGAAATATGAACCAATTTCTTTACGGGATATTTCACTCTGTCTGGTTTGCCTCCTCAGATGCAAAAATAATAAACCCTATTAATTTAAATCTTATTTAGCTGTCCCATCTCTCCACAATAATTGATTGGGCTTTAGACACTCTGCCAGAAAATATAATCAAATCAGGTTTGCCTGGCAATTGTGCTGCAATACACAGCATCAGAGCGCCTCGGTCCCCACACTTGCTCTAATTGATTAAAAGATTTGGTCACTTGCACATTTTCATTTAGACAATTAAGCTAAAGAGACACTACAAACCCAGCGAGACCAGCTGAAAGCAGTAATGGATAGTGGCAGACCATTTTGGTAGGGAGAATTATGACTTAGGGATGTTGCAGTAATTAAGGTGTTTCTTTTTTTCTCCCCCCTCCTTGCTCTTGATGCAACAGCCTCAGGAGTTCAACACAGCACAGCTGCTGCCACGCAGGGGGAATGCCATACAAATGGACAATCTGCTTTTCCTACCCGCCAAGGAAGCTGCCACCCTATAAACCCACATGGCCAAACCCTGAGCCAGCTCAGAAGGGGCGAGGCAGGGGAGCAGGAGGCAGCAGTCACACCGGCATGGGGGCACCACATCACACAGGCACAGCAGGCTCAAAGGATGTACTGCTTCCAGGGACAAGGAAGAGAGGGAAGGTCTCCAGGGCAGAGTCAAGCTACGTCTTTTACACAAACCCTAACTTTGAGTGTGTTTGGATGCTGGCTCCACCCACGATTCCTGGTTGAGGGCCAGACTACGTCAGTCACAACCAGCCAACTACGATGACATCCAAGGAAAGCAGCTGAACTGCAGCCTTTCTTGCCAAAGCAAGGAGAGAAAACAAACAGGCTCCTTGGCCTTTTCCTCAGCAATCCTGGGAGAGCTGCGGTGGTTATGCAGCTGGAAACATTGGCAGACTCCACAAATGTCAAAATCCTGAAAGAAGAGATCAAGAGGTAAAAAGAATCGCAGTGGTCTTATCTGCAACTTAGTGTGCAGAGCTGCATGACGAGACCAGAAAGGCTTAAAACCTGTATTAAAAACATTTTGCCAATAGTATATAGAAACTATTGCTTCATATGTCTCCAAGAGCACAGATGGTAACTGCTAATAAGAAGGTAACATGCTTATCCTACCCAGCCACCAGTGCCTGTGATTCTACATATTTAGTCTCACGTGGTTAAGGATCTGCAAGGCACGGTGGGTTTAAAATTAATAAAAAAAGATAGTCCTGGCTGCAGTGTTTGTGAAGTGTGCTGGCATGCAGCTGGCAGGGGGGAGAGCAGGTACAGAAGCCTCCCCTTCCTGAACCAAATTACCCTGCCCTGGCACAGCTCACAGCCACAGAAAGGCCTCACAGCCCAAGCACAGGGTCTGAAAAAAGCAATCAAAGCAGAGAAAGCTTTTTTCAGTTCTGCTTTATGTCTTAAGGTGTACATAAAGCCAGCCTTGGGACGAGTCTCAACCTGAGACGCCAACTCAGAGGTCTGAGCAGACACGCAGCTGCAGTCCACGTGGGAAAGTCCAACAACTGCAATGCATTTCACCCACAAAAGGTAAATAAATGAGAATATTTTTCAGCAGCATCCCTGGAAAGCTGTTCCCTTGCAGTCAGGTTGTTACCACTAGCAAAATAAGCATTCTAGCATTCGTTTTCATTAGGGCTACTGTTTCCAGGATTCCTCTTAGAAGTGACAAATGACAGCTACATGATGATGATTTAGAGGCACACAGAAGGCATCACACACAGTGATTTATCCCAATTACTGCACTTTTCAATTTACACTTGTTTGACTTCCCCAGTTCAGTCCCATACCCCAGACACGGGCTGCTGCTGCTAAGAAATACCAGAGTTGGGCCATTTTGAAAGGGAACAGTGTTAAATGGACTGCAGTGCAATGCTAGGAACAAAATGTCTCATTCTGGTGATGTTATTGCTTTCTATTTGGTGTTTATGTACCTTCTGTGTAAGGACAGAGGGATAATATGCATGGCAGTCTTCTTCCTACTAGTACAGTCACCACTGCAAAATTAAATGCGCCCCTGCTAGCCAATATATTGGGGAAAAAGGAACAAGCAGTACATTTTTCTTCCCAGTCATTAGATTGCTCTGCAGAGAAGCAGCAAAACTTGCACACAAAACATGCCATTTGCACAATGAAAGCCCATCGAGGGCACCAATTAAAATTCTGTTAGACTCCCAAATGCAAACTTAACAGGATGACCAGTGTCTATTGCTTATCCTTAACCCTAACATGGGAGACAGCTTCAAAGTGCCTTCAAAAGTACAGATGACAGCATCACTGCAAAAGGGCTATAAGCATTCTCAAAATATTTGCATTATTAAAACCTGAAGACTATGAAAGAGAGGAAGTGGTACTCAGAGGAATTTGAATGGTTTTGCATGGAAATAACGGGATGTTGGACATCCAGGCTTAGGGATGGAATAAGTGCTATTGGCAGCCAGCCCCTTGGGATAGGCATAAATACCAAAGGAAGCGCAGCCCTCATGGTTTGAATTAGCTAGCAAGGCAGAAGACAAAAGAGCTCAAAGAATAACCTCCACGTCCTCCCATGCAGTACGCTTTCACATCACTGCTTTTATTTCTGCTGAGCTTCTCTGTCTCACTCTCACCAATCCCAGCCTGCAACTCCCCCATCCTAGCAAAAGCCTCCCTCAAACCCAGGCATTTCAGTGAGCAAGCAGTGACAGAGCAGCTCACAGTTCAGATCCAGGCAAAGCTCATTTTGTTTAGAGAATTAACAACAAAGTAATTCCTCTGAGAAAAGGGGGTCACTTTACTGACTAAAATGGAAAGTCATTTATTAGCTACCATTTTAGGAAGGCAACAGTTACTAAGTCATCACTTTTCACTCACCGAGAACGCAATTGAATTGGTGGGGGTGAAGGTACTTAAATAAGAAAAATGGTCCAATTTCAAAACAAAGATACATTGCTTAGCACCTTGATGGCATTGCTCAACATGAGCCAGCCCATATTCTCCAGAGCACCAGGAGCCATGGGGAGCCTCAGGCAGTGATGTCCAGAGGGAACCAAACCTCTGTGAAGTGCTTGGAGCAGGAATTACAGGGCAGTACATAGAAGGGTGTCCATCTCCTGCCTCCCTGATTCCTCTTTCCACAGGTACCCAGATCGTCTGAACTTGCCAGGGCCCAGGACCTGGCTGCACAGGAGGTTCCAGGGGAGGTGGCACTAGTGAGCCCTCAGATCCTGTTCAGCCTTTGAGCTGTGGAGCCCACCCACCCAGCTCCCCCCTACCATGCCTAACCCAGGGGCTCCACCACTCTCAGAAGGGGAGGAGTACAGGTAGGAAGGGGGAACAGTGCCGCTCCCTTCCAAACCCTTCCTCTCTCAATTGCCAAGTGAAAAGGGCACACAAGTAACACTGTTCTAGGTCTGAGGGACAGAGTGGAACAGAGCCCCCATCCCAAAATAAAACCACATTGGTATTTTACCTCCAGCAAAAGACGCATTTGTTTGCACAAGCCAGGCTCGGTGTGGCCTCCATGCAGCGGTGGCTCTCAATTCCATAAAATGTGTGTTTGTAGCAGCCGCCTCTGCCTCGAAGCATCGACTAGCAGCAGAGAAAGACATATACAAATACCAAGAAAGTTAAAACACCACCTGTAACCAAACTGAGCAAAGGCTTGAAACCTGCTCCCTGGGCATATCTGCAGTTTCCAGTCAGTAGTAACTTTGGTGCCTGTAACTGTGACAGCCATTGCAAGCAAGGTCACGGCTGCAGAACAGGTCTGAATAATGACAGAGGTGGAAAGAAATTCATAGCAAGCAGATCAGTATACAGTCTGATTGTTTATATACAGCCTTACAGAAACAAGGCATTTACAGTGTCAAATTTACAACTGTTTTAGAGGAGAGAAACTTCAACATAATCAATAACTTCACTTGCAACACCACAGCATAACAATGCACTTTCCTAAAGCTTTTAAGCAAATCAGCCAGCAAAAGAAAGCAGGTGAGGCCACTTAAGCTGCAAGAAATATTATTGTAAAAGCCCACTAAAGAGTAACAAGGATCAATTTCAAGGCTGTACTACTGAACACTCAATTCTTTTGTCTAGCACAGTATTTCTTCAAGTACTAAATTAAACAAACACCCTGACCTTATAAACCTTCATTCACACCAGTCAGTGGCTCCAGCAGGACACTGCGCCTTCCTTCCCACCAGGATCTATCTCCTATTTAGCATGCAAGTTGCTTGGAGCAAAGACTGTCTTTCAATATCTCGGTTAAATAATAATAAATGAGAAAGAATCTTTACTACTCCCAGGAGAAAAACTGAAATATGACATAGTAACTTTTAATCTACCTTGCTCTACCCTGAAAAGTCCTGGTGATCCAGGAGAAAGCCTCCACTGAGCAGCAGGGAAAGAATGTCCAGGTAACCCCTAACATATGCACAGCCTTGTTACGTAGTTCGGAGATTAAACAAGATGGAAAATGCTGGGTTTTCGACCCATCCCTCGAGATTTCAGGAGATTCACAAATTCTAGGACAGCAAGTTATATTTTGGACTCCGTAAGACAAGCAAATCAGACTCTTCCGAAAACGTAGAGGGTTTATGTTCTTTTCCAGAAGATGACAGAACACTATCATTTTAATCTGAGATAGTGCTATGAAACTCCACTAATACCAAGCCTTCTAGCCCTGTTCCTGCTTTCTGCCGATACAAATCTCAAACAAGCCTCCTGAAGATGTGCATATATCGGTGTGGATCTGAGTCAAAGCCACTGCCTGTAACCAATTTCAGCTCCATTTATTAGAACACTTTACATTCAATTCCTGCTTAAGCTAAAAATAGTATGGTCCTATCTAAGCACACAGAGCTGCTATTTATTTTGTGAAATGGCTTTACAGTGCTGCATCAAATTCTGGTTCTTTAATAAAAATAAGTTCTCTGGTTTTCTCTCTCAGTCACAGCATTGATGAAGTTTGACAAGAGTTTCTTTAAACGTTTCATGGCCTTCCCTGACACTAGAAGTGATAGAAGAGAGAAATATTTGTAAGGGTAAACAGCAGAAACATCAGTGGGATCAGTACGTCTGACAAATATTCATGGCAATACAGTAGTGGGCTCTTTAAACTGTTGATGAGAACAAGTCTTCTGATGAGACAGTTCATTGATACCAGGCATTTCAATAAGGAAACCTCACTGCAGCCACCCACTTTGGTGATTACCATTCAAAGGGCTCTTTTCAAAAATAAACAAAGTTAATCATGCAGCAAGAGAGAGAGGAGAGTCCAAGGAACTGATGATCACTGCCACAGCACAAGAATTAGGGATGTGCTGGCATTTTAAATGAGGTGATGATTCCCATCATTTACCATCCTGCAAGTGCTGAAGGCCTTAGTACCTTATATCAATGTTACTCCCCAAACACGTAACATTATAGACCAGCTTTCAACTTCTGAGCATCTTGGGGCCCTGCTAAGGACAGATGAAACAACAAACGTACAGAAGAGGCTGATGTTTGTTCTACAGCGCTCTGCACCTCTGCTGGGAATATTTAAGTCTGCAAACTACTTTAAAAGCTACTGGCTTATGAAGCCTACACCTGCAGGGCTCAGAGGATGACTTTTTTCATCTCTACGTGCACATACACATATGTAGACCCACACAGGCATTACACACAACTATATACGTACACACACACTCCACAGAGTAATTTTTTAAAAGTCCTAGCATTAACAAGTGAGTTACCTCGCTATCAGACTCTACTTGACAAATGCTGAAAGCCAGTGGAGGAGCACCAACTGTCGCAAAGCAAACACATCAGTCACAGAACAACAGGTTCAAATGCCATCGTGTGCCCATTCGAGTGTAATGACGGGCTGTGTTATCTTTGTTGTAGAAGACCTCACACTGGTGATGTAACCTTCCCACTTTTCTCTGCAGTGTTCTGCTCCTGGCATATATTTCAGTAAGCAGGAGATATTTTAGCAGACAGCAAAATAACAGGAAAAACAATAGTAAATTATGTTCCCAGCTCTTTGCTATGGTCAAATTCTCACTCTTTGCAGCAGGATTTTAATAGCTTGAAATGCAAAACTAGAGCTTGGAAGATGAAATTTCTTTTCATGCAAGTAATATCACATTTTTAAAGGATATTTCATCTGGAAATTGTAATACCTGAGTAAGTTTCTCACTTTTTTTAAAATGTATAAAATGATAAAAGAAAAGAGAACATACCTTTGTCCATCGGCAGAGTTTCACCCCAGAGTGGCTTCCAATCAGCCTGTAACCTGAAAACAAGAAATCAATCAAACCATCAATTTTAACTTACAATAATTGATACACAAAGCGTATCAATCTGTACCCAAAATTAAGCATCGTTGTCTCAATGCTGCTCTTCCCTGTTGGCCCAAAGGTGACGCTACCAACAAGATGTCAGTGCCCACCCACAGTACTCTCCATTTGATTCTGAGGGCCTGCACATCAGAGCAAAGGCCAAGGCCACCCAAAGGACTTCAGCCAACTTGAAACCATTGCTCTTAATGGGAGATTTATTTCCATTCCTCAGTCTTGTTTGAATCAATAGGAGGTGGCCCCAAGACTCTTCCATGTGACAGGACGGCAGACTAACAGGTCTAGCCCAGCAACGCAGTATGCCTGCACTGACCCCAAGGGACAGCACATGGGAGGGAGCAGGACAGGGAACCAGAAGCATCTTCCTGGCGCCAAGTAGCCACTCCAGGACCAACCCTTCCCCAGGACCAAGGAGACACATTCCCACCACTCCTCAGAAGGTCTAACCAAGCCTGGAGAACATCATCTGACTCGCAGTGGAATTGAAAGCAGAGGAAGAGAGCTGAAACACAGGGCTCAGCTTGAACTTCACAGGTTCACCAATTTCACCTCCACAAGCCATGGTGGAGCCACAATGAGGGAGCCACTCCTCCGTGCCCAGGGGAAAGCTGATTGCACATCACTTCCCTGTTCCCCAGCTAAGATCAACACAACTGAAATATATTGGTCCAGGAGGATTAATTCTACAACATTCGTTAAGCACTAAGTACTATTATTACCCAAACTGCTTGAGTTGGGTTTTTTCTTCTTTGAAAAAAGTGCTTAGAGACCGATATGTCTGAAGGATTAAAAGTCACTTCAAAATCAGCATAAAAATAAGAGGGATCAAAATAATCACTGTGTCATTCAGACAGTAGTGTTTATACGTCAATGGCCTGGTTGTCCCCAAAACCAGCACCCATCAGCTTTAGGCTGATGTTTATATTAAAGCTTTCAAGGGAAATCAAATTTTAGGTATCAAGTCTCCTTCCTGCCAACCAGCATGAACTTAACAGGGAAAAAAAAAAGCCTTCTGTTCAGCAGAACTGGCCTTCACCTCCTACAACAAAAGGTGGCACAATTACCCTGCCCTGCTTGTTTCCTAGAATGCTTTAGGGTGGAAGGGACCTTTAGGGTCACGCAGTCCAACCCCCCTGCAGGGAGCAGGGACACTGCTAACTAGAACAGGTTGCTCACAGCCCTGTCCAACCTGGCCTTGAATGTTGCCAGGGATGGGGCCTCCACCACTTTTCTGGGCAACCCATGCCAGTGTTTTACCACCCTCATTGTAAAGAATTTCTTCCTGATACCCAGTCTAAATCCAACCCAAAGAATTCCATGATTCTATGATAGCAAGGAAGAACAAACTGTTGTAAGCCAAAAAGCCTTGGTACTTCACATAGCAGATCACCCAATCCTTTCCTGGAGAAAGGCATCACTGTAACCCCAATCAGTGTCTCTAACAGCACTGAGTGTACAAAGTCACATGCAACACCAGGGACACTTTTATCTAGGACTGGATGAGACCCAGATGACCTTGTGGCAACTTTTGACTCACTGGTGGCAGAGGCAGAGTCAGGCAGGTGCAACTGCATTTGGCTGCATCACATCGTCCCCTCCCACCTTGGGTCTGTCCTGCCCATTTTTTCCGCATTTCTTTGCAAACAGGTTTGTCCAGCAAGATCTAATCTCAACCAAGACCTCCCTGCACTGCTAGAAGTTGTGTCTGTACATGATTTCTTGACAAGCATGGAAAAGTATGATACATTCCTCCATCTAATACAGCTGTCCAAGCCAGACTCTTTACTGATGTCAACCAGCACAACCCTAGCCTTAATTTTTTTCCATTTTTCAGAATCCAGCAATAGTATTCATGGAAGATTATTCTCTCTCAGATCACTTGACAGTAAAAGTAATATAGCTGCTTTAAAATGGGGTTTAGATTAAAATTAAGTTGGAAGTAGGACATACTTGCCCAGATCTACTACTGAGTTGTTTGAGAGAAGAGAGGAAGCAGCTAAACTGAGCAAGGTGCCAAGCTCCGGAGCCCAAAGCTGCGGCATTTTCTCTTAAGTTACTTAAATCAACTTCCACCATGTGGAGCGCCCACAGCTTCCTTTAAAGGCCAAGAAAACTGTACACGTTCAACATCAAAAACAGAGTCTTACAAACTTCAGCCAGCTTTAGTGATGAGAAGGGGTTTACTCATCTTGTTTGCTGCTGCCAGGAGTCACAGCTATGGTTACAGGAAGAAACAGCATATACTTGCAGAACTTCTTAAAAGCACCTTACGAAGCAGCTGAACCACAGGCCTTTACTGCATCAGTAACTGGTAAAGTGTGGTTACCCTGCTAAGCCAGCTCGGTGAACACTGCCATGCTTTTTCAGTCTTGGAAATCAGATAAAAATATCAGTGACCAAGGCCGAACACTCTTTACACATCTACTCGAGGTGAGCAGAGTCCTTCCACCTCTGTAAAGCCTGTTTCTTCAAGTACTCGCTTTACTACAGGCCAAAACATAGGCAGCAAACCAACTCGGGCTGAAAAAAGCACAAAGGGTTAAGCAAGAACCAAGCAGCACTGAGTTTCAAACCAAAAGTGGGAGAAAATATGTTTAAGAACCAGTATGAAGGTCTCCTCAGTGCTGTTTCCACATCACAGCTTCTGCTCGAGAACCCTTTTGAAAGCTCAGCCTTGCTCACCTCTTCCATCAGCTTTGCCACAGCCTGACTGTGGCTCTGCCAAAGCAAATGGTGGTTGAACCAAATCTTACTGCTGGCCCAGAAATCTACACCTATGTATGCCAAGACTCCCTGTGAACACATTTGCTTCTTTGCTCTTAAGACATAGTTCTGAACAATAACTGAGTATTTGGATACAACACCTTCCAAACAATGCCATGTGTTGTCTTCATGGGTCCCTGCTCACAGGCCCTACGAATCTTCAGATACTAAGGCTAAACAAACCCAATCCATTTATCATTTCTACAGCCTAATATTCAAAGGATGCCTTGAACAATAAGCAGGCTCAAAGTAATCAGCTCAACTCCTGATTAAAGGCACAGGAACATCCAATTAGAAGTCTGTGTGTTAGTTGATCCTGCTGTAGATGATAAATTTTTAATGACCCAGAAGCCCGCCAAACTTCACTGAAATTGTCATTTTTAACTATAATAAGACATGAATTAAGCTTTTAAACAAGGTTTTGGGTGAAATTAGTCTTATCAGACAATGACAACACTAGGCTGATAAACATTTGGCAATTGCTTGCCCTGACAATCCAACTGGAGTTTAACAGACCACAGACAGACTTTTAACCAAAGAGATGCCCAGTGTCACAGATGGCAACTGCCCTGTTGTCTGGGGCAAAACTGTTCTGCAACCATTTAAAACTACGTTTCAGGATTTCAACTCCATCATGTAAATAATAGTTTTAAAAGTCCATGCTCTGAAAATCAAAGAATTCATTGAGGGACCCTATGAGCTCTCAGCCACTGAGACTGGAAGCTACGGTCTATATACCCATGTCACATCCCAGGATATCAGGGTACTCTGGTCGTGGTTTTGCTAGTTTTCCAGTGCTCTACACATAACGAGTCTTTCTAAGCTCCTGAACATGGACGAATTATGTGCATGTGAGAGATTATGTTATTTTAATTTTGAAAGCAGAACAGATAGCCAAGATAAACCAAATTTCTACAAATACATCCATCTGTATCAGAAGCAGTATCATGGTATCTACACAGTCTAAAAAACTATGAATCTGTAGGAGAGCCATACTGAACAGCTTTCAAAGATTGGCGACTATCCCGATGTGGCAAAGCATCCAGAAGAAAACCTGAAGGCACCTTCCACTACAGATCTCTACACCACCAAAAGCTTGCTTCAACAGAAGACTTTGAAAGCACAGAGCAAAAGAAAGAATGAGTGGAAGAAGATCAGTTGTTGAAAAAAAAAATCCCTGAAACATACAAGAAAGACTTCATCTTTCTCTAAGAGCGCAGCCACCATAAGCTTGGTAAAAGCCAAGCTGATGTCACATGTGCTTCACAAACTCAAGTGACTTTCAGAAGGCTCTTCTGGGAATACAGAGCTGGCAAATCACTGTGGTTCTATCAAGCAACCTCCATAAATAAAAGCCCTCCAGTTTGAAGCAATGATTATCTGTTAAAGCTGAAACTCACTGCAGAAAGGGGAACTTCACACTGGGAGAATGTTTACAGGGAAAAAAGTTTTCAGTTTCCTGCCATTTTGCAAGAATGCAGTTTAAAAGTACCAGAGCTGAAGGTCAGCGACACAGCAGTAATCCATCACCAGCACTTTAAGGACCATTTCAAAGTTGTAACACAATTGCTGCACTTGAGCTGCTGCCCAAAAGACAATGTTCTGATGCTAGAAATTAATAAGAAAAAAAAACCAAGAAATGCTATTGGTGAGAGGAACTTATTCAAATTATGTCATCATTTTATACCAAAATAGAAAGAAGTGGAACCTGGGCAGGGGAATTTTTCAGACTGACTAAGCACAATAGGAGAAACCTCCAGTTTCATTCCTAACATTGCTCAATCTTCAAGAAACCCTTGCCAAGCCCATGGAGACCTACTCTTTAGGTTTCCTCTTTTTTGGAAAAAGAAGTACTCTTAAGAAGGCTTGTGATTTGTGGAAGGACTCGCTTCCATGAACTCAGAGCAAGGAGTGACGACACAAGAAAAGACTACAGGACTGTACCTTGTATACAAAAATACTGTCATTCCAAAATGGATGGGAAGTTTGGTCTTTTAGCAGAGCTGCTGAAATGCTGCTTCAGATCCTTCTCATTGTACACAAAATGAAGAACATCTTGAACATTTTTAACACATAGTAAAGGCCTACTAAGTTTAACGAAAGAAATACAGCTGCTTCAGCAGGCAAACCAAACCTAACCTACTATCAAGAAAATGAGACTGCAGAGTTCAAG